AAGCAACGGCGGGGAGCTGTGGTCTCAAGGTCTTAGGTGTCTCAAGGGGCGGTAACCCTCGAACCTCCTGGTGGACACCAGTGGTCAGGGAAGCCGTCCGACTGAAGAAGGAGGCCTTCAGGGATTTTTTATCCCGGGGGACTCCCGAGGCAGTTGCAAGGTACCGACAGGCCCGAAGGGCAGCAGCCTCAGCCGTGGCAGAGGCAAAGCAGCGGTTGTGGGAGAAGTTCGGAGAAGACATATGGAGAAGGACTTGGTCGGGCGGCACCAAAGTTGTTCTGGAAAACTGTCCGACACCTCAGGAGGGGGAAGCAGGGAACCATCCAAGCTGTGTACAGTAAGGATGGGACGTTGTTGACCTCAACTGATGGAGTGTTAGGGCGTTGGAAGGAACACTATGAGGAACTCCTGAACCCGACAACTCCGCCCTCTATGTTAAAGGCAGAGCTGGAGTATGACGGGGGATCAACACCAATCTCCCGGGGGGAGGTCACTGAGGTCGTCAAACAACTCCACAGTGGCAAAGCCCCGGGGGTGGATGAGATCCGCCCAGAAATGCTGAAGGCTCTGGGTGTTGAGGGACTGTCATGATAGACACGTCTTATCAACATTGCGTGGAAGTCTGAAACAGTACCGAAGGAGTGGCAGACCGGGGTGGTGGTTCCCCTTTTCAAAAATGGGGATCAGAGGGTGTGTCATTACCCCAAGTGAAGGAGTTCAAGTATCTCGGGGTCTTGTTCTTGAGTGAGGGAACAATGGAGCGTGAGATGGGCCGGAGAATCGGAGCATCGGGAGCGGTACTGCAGTCGCTTTACCGCACCGTTGTGACGAAAAGAGAGCTGAGCCAGAAGGCAAAGCTCTCTGTCTACCGGGCCATTTTCATGAAGGATGGGTCATGAGCGAAAGAACGAGATCGCGGATACAAGTGGCCGAGATGGGTTTTCTCCGCAGGGTGGCTGGTGTCTCCCTTAGGGATAAGGTGAGAAGTTTGGTCATCAGGGAGGGACTCGGAGTTGAGCCGCTCCTCCTTCGCGTCGAAAGGAGCCAGTTGAGGTGGTTCGGGCACCTAGTAAGGATGCCACCTGGCCGCCTCCCTAGGGAGGTGTTCCAGGCACGTCCAGCTGGGAAGAGACCAAGGGGTAGACCTAGGACCAGGTGGAGGGATTATATATCTTCGCTGGCCTGGGAGCGCCTTGGGATCCCCCAGTCAGAGCTGGTTGATGTGGCCAGGGAAAAGAAAGTTTGGGGCTCTCTGCTGGAACTGCTACCCCCGTGACCCGACCACGGATAAGTGGGAGAAGATGGATGTATGGATGGATACACGTCAAAAAAGTAAAGGACCTCAGGTTGAACCCTGTGGTACACCTTTAGTGAACCTAATAACAAGAAGTGGGTAGTTTGAGAAAATACATTGTTTATTTATTTACTAAATGGCTTGTAAAGCACTAGCAGCTGTTCTGATCCACGCCAGCAGAATCTGGTCTATCTACTCAAGTGATTAGTCAGCTATGTCAAAGGCTTCGGACAGGTCACCAAGACATTGTATTATCAAACAGCATTTGCATAATACTATTGATTACATTTATTGAAATACATTATTTAAGATTTTTTCTGTGGGAAGAAAAGTTGAGTTTACCAATTCATGTTTACAGAAATGTGATGATTAGTTATATATCCAATTCCTGTAGTGTTATCCGGCACCATGTAGTATTCATGGAAGATGTTGCTCGGAGAGTGGTAACAGAAAGGGGGATTAATCTGGGCCAAAAAGCCTATTTTGCTCCAAGGTTCTTTAGTGCTATGCTATCACACCATGATGTTTTTTTTGGTTAATTATAGTCTTTAATACATCTAATAAAACTATTGCTTCTTTTGGTTGAAAGTGTTGCACAATTTGGCTACAGAATGTGTAAACGTTCCTCATGATTTAAGAAAATTAAACTTGGCACATTGCCACACAGTACCTATATATTTGGTCATCCATCCGTTGTTTTCGTACATCTTTTTTGTTTGCTCTTCCTAGGTAAAACAGGAAAAAAGGGTGTGACAAAGCTTGTTGAGTGAATTTGAATTGTGCATCCCCTCCTGAGCTTAAGTAAAACTGACTGAGTGGAAACATTTCTCAATTCAAAATGTTATTTCAATTTAAGTTTCCTGACACAAAGTACGCTGTCTAGTCTTTAACAAAAGTTTCTGCTGCAATCCAATCAGAGTAATCAGGGTAAATGTGCCAGGGTTAGCTCATGCTAATGGCCTGTGTAGTCTCTGGAACAACAACCTTGGCATGTATGTTGCCCGGCTAATATTCACAGTATAACAAAGTAACCACTGACACAAAGGATGCAATCATCTGCAATCATTTCAATGCAATTATTGTAATGGATTGTCCATATTTATCAATGGTGATGATGTTGCTGTCTTCAACATTTGCTTTATTTAGCCGGTGAGCCGTGCTTTGGCTTGTGCAAAATTACATGACTACATTTAAATCTCAGTACCTTCAACTGATAATTACACTGCTTATAAATAGGACATTTGTACTATAGCACATGACTGTAGGCGAGCCTTCTGCTCTATGTTTATCACCACAGAACAAAAACGTTCCAGAGCTATGCAAACATCGGACAAGCAGTTGAAGTAAACCCTAATGGACCAACCAAGGATGGACCAGCAATTATGTTTGAAGAACATCGTTATGACTGGTCCTACTCTCTTATTTGAATGAGAGTGGAAGGGAGCCCTGGTTCAGGATCATATTGCTTGAGTGAGATATACATTTTTTTAATCCTGATTGCCAGTCTGCAGCCTGCAGTCCAGCAACCCTGACCCCCTTATTCCACCGGGTCCGTCTGCACCGCGTAACGGCTGCGCCGCGGCGTGCACGTGGTGATGTGCATCTCCATCACTGAGGCTGATTCGATGCACATCTCGATACATTGCCAACGATACGATACATTAACGATACATTTGAAGAACCAGGCGATGCGATACAATACGATTCACCCCTGTTGGGATACAGTTCGATACGATTTGAATCAACATTATGCGATTCGGGGCGGTACGATGCGATTCAACACAATGCAAAATAATGATACAATTCAATATGGTACGACAGAGGATTTTGCTTTATCCCTTATACATGTGCAGCAAATCATAAATTAACAAAAAAGTGCTTTACATATTTGGTTCTCTCTAGTACTGCACAATCCATTATGCTGTTTCTTTTTTACCTTAAAGGTCCCATGTAATGCTTTTACGGTTATTACCCATCCCCTTGTGTGTTATGAGGGTTTGTATGCATGTAACCGGTCTGCAGAGTCAAAAACCAAATGTGTGTGTCAGTAAATGTGTACTAACAGAGGTGGGGGTGTTTGTGAAAATAACGGGGACAGAGCTGCTGTCAGACGAACAGCTGTGCAGCGTTATCACAAACGGACGTCGCTTCACGTGACGCTCCGGAGGAAAGGACGTCCCATTGCTCTTAAAACTCATTTCCCTGCTTCTCGTGGTTTCCTTGCGTCTCTCCATGCTTCCCTGGTGGGAGGGACTAAACGCAGGGAAACGACGCAAGCGAGGGAAGCAAGGATTTCATTTAATCGACCTGAGAAGGACCCATGGAAAGCCTGTCCGTTTCTCAATCTCGAGGATACTGGCTTCCAAGCCAATATTTCAAGGATACTACGTCATCGAGTGCCGCCGAAGGACTGTTCCAATCTCCAGCATACTTGGAATTCCACCGAGGCTGCGTCCTTAAAAAAACAAAACACTTAGTCCTTTCACATAGGCCTACAGGCCTTTTCACAAGTGCAGTAGTGTTCTCTGTCTCCAGAGTACAGTACCATTTTATAACACCTCACAGTTAAACAATTTAAGGATGCATTGCCCATGATTAACAATGTGCAAATAACAACTAGTGCAATGCCCATACAACTGCCAGCCTGATGTGCTTAATGCCCCGGCCACACGAGGACGAAAACGGCTAAACGCATAGGATTAACGCAAACGCAATCGCAAAAAAGCTTCCGTCCACACGCAATAGTCATCCGGATAGTGTCTGTCCACACGAGACAGCTCCGTTTAGCTCCAACCGCTGGAGAAGCTGCAGTACATATGCAGGAGCCTGTACGTGGCGCTGTAACTTCCTCCACAAAAGCAGTGAGTATAAGATCCCCCCCGGATGTGTAAGGCACAAACAAACAAACAAACAAACAAGGTAGAAGATGGCTGATGCAAGAAAGGATGTCTTTTCGTGGACGTGGACTGATGATGAGGTAGAACTTCTACTTAGGATCACATTAGACTACAAAACTACAAAAATACAGGAGAATGTTGACTGGGAGTCCTGCAAGTTGAAGTATAGTCAATTTATTTCAGGCGCAGTATCCGACGACCGACACAGGGAAGGATTTCCCTCACGGCGTGGGCGCCATTACAAAGGCCCAGCTTGCCGCCAAGCTAAAACAAATCCGCATGAAGTACAGGCATGCGGTGGACACTAATGGCGCATTTCCACTGCAGCGGGTAGCCCCGTTTAAGCGTCCTTAACCGCCCTCAAGCGGCCAGGCCAGTTTTTGGTGGCCTTTCCATATAGCCTAGTACCGGCTAGCGGGTACTTTTTCCCTCTTTTTCCGGCCCCATAAAATCGTGGTTCTATCAGACCAGGGCCAGGGCTGATCTAGTGACGTCAACACTCTCGACTGCTGATTGGTCAGAGAGAATCGTCACAAGATCGCGCGCAAGATCATCCCTAGCGTCGCATATATATTTAGAAGCAAGCTATCAGCATTTTTATAAACAGCATTTTGTAAACGAAGGAGCTACAAAAATGGCTACGTCTAATAAGAAAAGCACACCGTGGTCGACCGAGGAGGTGACGACGTTCCTACATCTCATTGGGGATGATAAAATCCAGCAGGAGCTCGACGGAACAACGCGAAATGTGAAAGTGTTCCAGGATGTCTCTGCACAGATGTCCGAACGCGGATTTTCGAGGACTTTCCTGCATATCGCCAAGTAAAGGACAACAATAACACGAGTGGTGCGGGTAGGAAACAATGGAAGTGGTTCGACTTGTTGGACCAGATTTACGGCCATAGACCGGCCAACGTTGGGAGGGAGGGAGGCCTGGACTCTGCAACGGCTTTACTGGAGTCCCTGCAAGGTACGCTCACTTCTAACAAAGAAGTCTATTTTATCCTTACATTAATGTTCGACAACCCATGCTTTTATGGAGCCCCGAAGAGCTACATAGCTAGCTAAGGCAGATAGCCTAGGCAGATAGCCTTAGCTAGAGCTATTGTTTGCTAACACCATATGTGCCATTGTTTACGTTCAGTTTTTTCTTTTCTATAGTTGTTGTTGCTATTTAGTATTGTGCTGCAGTAGTTTGTGGAATTAACAAGTCATTTTGCTGTTCTAGATGATTACATTGGGACTAGTGAGGAGGAACATTCCCGAACAACGGGTGATGGCAGTGTTCCGTCCACAACATCGTCATCGAATCCAGAACGGACCCCAGCTCGACCACAGACACCAGCCGAAGAATCGACACCAACTCAACCACCAACGCCGAGTGCCATCACGACACCGCAGCGTGTGGTTCTAGGTAAGAAATAGAAATGGCAAAACGACTGGAATTGTGTTTTGTTTTTTTAAACCTTGGATCATCCATCGTCAGTAATTAAAATAAGCTATACCACTGTGTGGAAATGCTCTGTTACAAGTAAAGTCTTAGCTAGTAAGCAGCTAGTACAGTTGTGTGTGACATCCTATCATATACATATATTTATATTCATTATCAACAGGCTGGACATAATGTAATTCACAATCATTGTAAACATCTAGGGCCAGAACTTTCTTTAGTTCACCTTACTGTTGTTCTGTTTATACATGTTATTCTTATATCCTTGTGTGACCTGTACCTGTCCTGTGTTTTTTCCCTATTGCTAATTATTATCTTATTGTCACCCAGGCAAGAGGAAACGAGGAGGAGAGGATCGGGCCCAGCAGGAACGGCACCATGAACAGCACATGGCCCAGCAGGAACGGCATTTGGACTGGGCCAAAGCGTCTGCTGAGCGGAGATGGGAGTTGGATGCGGCCTTGAGAAGGGAGGAGGCCGCCTTGAGAAGAGAGGAGGCAAGGGAGGAGGCAAGGGAGGAGGCCGTCTTGAGAAGGGAGGAGGCCGCTTAAACAGAGACCTTCAACCTAGCCTTCCTGCGCACTCTTGGCGAGGTGCTAGGGGGACTGGGCAGCCGACGTGGCCATCGACGTGGCCCGTCTCCTCCTCGTCCAACTTAAAATAACCTTAATAGTTATTGTACATATTATATATATTTTTTCTAGTTAATTTTTAAATTTGTACTTTCTTGTATATTTATTTTCTTTAAAATGTTCATTTTATTTTTATTTTTACAATGCCATGTATATTTATGCTGGCTGCAATACAGTTTTTTATTTTGTATTTGTATTGTTTAATGGCATGCCTTTTTGATACACCATTTTTTTTTTTTTGTATACTGCCATCAATAAAGTATTTCTTTGACTTATCTTATCTCTTGTTGATAATGAATTGCACCCAACAGAAAAAAATCAGATTCACATAATCTTGATTTAGAGAAGATATAAACATACATGAATTTATAAAGCAATAACAAACACCATCAGTTAGGAAAAAGCCCATAAGATAAGTTAGTTTTAAGAGATTTAAAGCAAGAAATTGAGTTTGCTAGCTTGAGGTCCTCCTCCAAAACATTATTACATGTTTATTTTGTAATAGTATTAAGAATACATGATAAATACATAATACATGTAGAAATTGCTCAATTGTAATACCCTCGTTCTACTAGACTCAAACAACACATTCCTTATATATTTCAAAGACGAGAGAACAAAAGAAACCTATAACCCATTCAAGCAAGCTTTTAACATGTCTAGAAGAAAGATTGAGGTTATATTTTAATATATTTTATGCTGTGGATACTTTAGCCTCCATCCATGTTTACAATTGTCCACACTATTTTACACTTGCATTTATGAATATAGTTTTGCTGTGTTTTACACTTTAGTATTTATGTTTATAGTTAGCTTTGATATTCGCTTAGTTGATTAGAAAGATTTTCTTTTCATGATCTGATATTTCCTCAAATGTTCTTATTATGGGGCAGTACTTACTGGTGCTTGAAATTCAAATATTTACTAAATATTCAATTCAGATAACAACATTTGTTTAAAACATTTGACAAACACATGTATATGAAAAAAAAAAGATGTATTTATGTTCAATACAATGAATACAATACAATGCATATTTAGGTATTCAGGTAGCGCATCAAACCCTCTCTGATGTCAGTGCCCTCCTCCTCTGCACCTTGAGCCACTGCTACCCCAGGCTCTGCTGCTGCATTCCACCCATCATCATAGTCCTCTCCATGACTCTCGCAGAGGTTATGCAGAGCACAGCATGTCAGCACCATGGATTTCACAAGTTTCACATCACAGTCATTTATTTTCATGAGGCAACGCCACCTTCCCTTCAGTCTACCAAATGCGTTTTCAACCACTACCCGTGCGCTGCAAATGTTCTTGTTGTATACCACATGTTCTGCTGTCAGCCGTCCAGTGTCTGGGAAGGGTTTTAAGAGCCAGCTTTGCAAGGGATAGGCATTGTCTCCCAGCATGTAATAGCCAGCATTCACCCCACCAATGTCCCTGGTGCAAGGTGGAAAGTAGTTGCCACGACTGGCTAACTCCCACAATGAGGACAGCCTCAAAACCCGAGCGTCATGCAAGCTCCCAGGCATTCCTGCAAACACATTCCAGAAATGTCCCTTTCCATCTACAACTCCTTGAAGGATGATGGAGTGCCAGCCTTTCCGGTTGAAATAGTCACAGTGGTATTCCTGTGGTGCCAAGATGGGTATGTGTGATCCATCAATAGCACCTACACACTGTGGGAGCCCCCACCGGTTCTCAGTGTAGGCAGCCATTTCTGCAAACTGCTCCCGGTCTGGTGAACGAATTAGTTCCGGTACTAACAACGCCTCTGCAGCAGCACAGAAGTCTCGCACACACCGGCACACAGTAGTCCTGCTCACTCCGAAAAGATGTCCAATGCTTCTGTACTCTGAGCCGGTAGCAAGCTTCCACAGTGCGATGGCCACTCTCTTCTTTAGAGGTATACACACGCGGAATGTTGTGTCCTGTCTTTCCATCGCTGGCCGCAGTTTGTTGCACAGGTAGGTGTATGTTTCCTCAGACATCCTGAAGTTCTCCACCCACTGAGTGTGTGTGAAAGATGGAACTATCACAGACCACCACTCGGTAGCTCGGTCGAGCATCCAAACACATGGTCTGCGGTGGCAACCTAACTTCTGAAATACACAAACAAAAGCATACATATTTTAATACATAAAAGTGGTAGCTACAATTAATAAAATATTTGAAACACTTCGGTCGTATTGTGAGCGTGAGCCTAAACACATGGCTAGTTAGCGAACGTTAGCTTACCGAGTAGTAAGTCCTGTTGTAGTCTCTGCAGTCTGCAGCGTTGTAGGACTTCCAAAACTCTCTCGTCAGCGTCTTCTGCATCTCGTCTTGCTATACGCAGCCTACTTTGAAACATCACTTTCCTTCTTGCTGTGATCACTTTCCTTCTTGCTGTGATCACTTTCCTTCTTGCTGTGATCACTTTCCTTCTTGCTGTGATAACAAGCCACACACCAAGAAACAAGTAAACGATCGCTTCCACATCCTCCATTGTTGTGTGTGTTTTGTGAGTTGTGTCGCATTGAAGATGACGCCACTGCAGTTTTACCCAGCGTCGCTCCGCCCAAAAAGCCGATCGCCCCGCCTACACTGCGTTGCTACCCCAGGTCCTAAACTGTAATGGAAATGCGCCACGGCCTCGGACGGCCAGCGAGGCAGCCCGAGGCCTGAGCGAGGACGCTTAGGGACCAAGCCCCCAGGAAGTGCGCCGGACTCAGATGAAAATATTCGTGCTGGCCAAACGGCGGTACTACACTTCCGTTTGGTTGCCAGGCCCGGAAACACTTTTTCCCATTGACTTACATTGGGAAAGAGTGGTCTGTAACTCGTTGGATAATTTTTTTTAAACTAAATAAACTACCCAGTATGAACGTTTGTATAGCCCTTATTAAAAACATTCGTTCCTCAAGTTGTAAAAATGTGCTAATAACGTTATTCTGAGAGTTATTTCCCTCTGCATTATGAACGCGCATCTAACCCACGGGACCGCGCCGCCCGGCACATTCATGTTACGTGTCCCGACCAATCAGAGCACACTGTGCTCCCAGGGAGGGTGGGGCTGGAGCTATTGGAGCTACAACGAGCCGTTAAAGGCAGAGAGTGAAATTCAGTGAAAACACGTAGTTTACAGAGATGCTGTATGAGGAACCAATGTGAGTTGCGTTTATCTTTACCCATGGATGCACAATGGGAACGGATCCATATCGTCTTACTGCCATCCCACGGAGCTGTAATAATGGATATATTGCACATGTTTGCTGTAATTCATTATCATACTACATGGGCTGTATGATTAAATCTTGTACCGTAAATGTTGTATTAAATACAGTTAATATTACCGACATTATTAACGTCCCTGTAGCTTCGTATTGCACTAAGAAGCTTATTGCACTGTATATAAATATATATATATATATATATATATACAGTGCAATAATTATTTCATGCTAAATGAAGCTCTGTTGGATATCACTAGATCCTGTTACAGCGTAATATAAGTACATAACGATTGATGTGTACATTAGCATCATTACTAGCTAGCCGCTAGCTGCTAACTGCCGCCTCGTTCATATCAAATCCATGATAACAACAATCCATTACCATGCTGTCATGAACGCGCGGTGCTGTTACGTGTACGCAAATTGACGTGCTTGATGTGAACGAGCATTTTGGTTAAAGTTGCGCATGCTCTATGAGTGCACATACGGGTACTTCTCAGACATGCTGGGTAATCTGTGACGTTTCACTCTCTCAAAAGTTGGACCATTTTATCATCATGCGCTAATGAGCAGTGTCACTACCCGATCTGCAGCTCTGCCCGATCTGCAGTGCGCATGTGCGAGATGGTCCGCCATATTGGACAACTCCGGACGGCAACCCAAGATGGACATTTGACACAGTGGCTTTTAGCAAAGCTCAAAAATAAAACGAGAGAGATGAGTTATTGTTATTACAACGTGACTTCACTATTATTTAACAACTCTTTTTATGGAGTTCTTTTATTTGGGGTTAATTACATTGTCAGAATAAGTGAAAAATGAATGTAACTTCTGTTAGAAAGCTATCATACTGAATACATATTTACTGTGAATGTGTGCAAAAATGTATGGCATATATATAACAGAAGTTAAATCCATTTCTCACTTATTCTGACAATGTACTTAACCCCAAATAAAAGAATCCAATAAAAAGGGTTGTTAAATAATAGTGAAGTCACGTTGTAATAACAATAACTCATCTCTCTCGAGTTTTCCTTTTGAGCTTTGCTAAAAGCCACTGTGTCAATGTTGTCCTACTTGGGTTGCCGTCCGGCGTTGTCCAATATGGCGGACCATCTCGCACATGCGCACTGCAGATCGGGCAGAGCTGCAGATCGGGTAGTGACAAGCAGCTCTCATAGGAATGCATGAGGACCCGCCTCCCACGCTGTATCCAATTATTATTATACATCCATGTTAGGGACGCTTAAACGGGGCTACCCCGCTGCAGTGGAAATGCGCCATAACAGAGCGTCCACACTACAGCTTCAAAAAAAGCTTGGAGCTGGGCGTGTCTGAAGCTTGGGGATTTTATTCGAGCAACGCGACCAACAACCAATCACATGAATCTCCCGCCCCCGACATACAAAGCAAAAAACCCCGGGGATTTTATGCGAGCAATATATAAACTCCCCAAACAGGCGAAAACCTACCAGTTTCACCCACTGTCTCTGCCACCTCCCCCCTAGACTGGTTCCTCCGGTTTGTATCCCGGTAGGTGAAGAGGGTCTGGTCATACAAAACCGGGTGATTTGCTACGGCGATAATTAGTTTCTCTCCATCTTTTTTTGAAATATAGAAATGAACGGCGGGATATCTCTCCCAGCTTAGACGCGGTTTGATTGGCTACGGCTTGAGCTGTCAGATTTTCAGAAACGGAATTTGATTGGCTGGCGCTGGCTACTCCGGCGGAGACGGACCGCTATGCTACCCACAATTCAGTTCGACGAAAAGCGAGGCAACGTGACGTCACCCCATTCAAAGTGAATGGGCAGACGCGTTGGAAACTGTTTTTGAAGCTGTCGACGCTGTAGTGTGGACGCAGCGTAAGCGTCGGAGTGGCCAAGGACGTGTTGTGCTCATGTTTTTTGAGCTGTGTGAAGAGGTCTGGGGTGGCTCGCATGCTACGCGCAGCCTTACGTCGGGCATCGAGACGGGGGACCTGGAAGAGTCGTCTTCCGGACCTAGTTCACCCCGGAGTTTGGAGCGTTCCAACGATTCGCCAGAGTCGAGCGAATCCAGCGGAAGTCTGCCAGCTGCTGCGGTTGTACAGCATCGCAGGGATCTGCTCCAGGTATGTTCATTATTTCAAGCTTAACGGACTACATACTACGATACAGTACCTTCCACAGAAAAACTGAACATGTTTAAGCTTTATAAAAGTAGAAGGTATTGAGGGCTGTTGTATTTGTAAAAGTAGAAGGTATTGAGAGCTGTTGTATTTGTAAAAGTAGAAGGTATTGAGGGCTGTTGTATTTGTAAAAGTAGACGGTATTGAAAGCTGTTGTATTTGTAAAAGTAGAAGGTATTGAGAGCTGTTGTATTTGTAAAAGTAGACGGTATTGAAAGCTGTTGTATTTGTAAAAGTAGACGGTATTGAAAGCTGTTGTATTTGTAAAAGTAGACGGTATTGAAAGCTGTTGTATTTGTAAAAGTAGAAGGTATTGAAAGCTGTTGTATTTGTAAAAGTAGAAGGTATTGAAAGCTGTTGTATTTGTAAAAGTAGAAGGTATTGAGAGCTGTTGTATTTGTAAAAGTAGAAGGTATTGAAAGCTGTTGTATTTGTAAAAGTAGACGGTATTGAAAGCTGTTGTATTTGTAAAAGTAGACGGTATTGAGAGCTGTTGTATTTGTAAAAGTAGAAGGTATTGAGAGCTGTTGTATTTGTAAAAGTAGACGGTATTGAGGGCTGTTGTATTTGTAAAAGTAGACGGTATTGAAAGCTGTTGTATTTGTAAAAGTAGAAGGTATTGAAAGCTGTTGTATTTGTAAAAGTAGACGGTATTGAAAGCTGTTGTATTTGTAAAAGTAGACGGTATTGAGAGCTGTTGTATTTGTAAAAGTAGAAGGTATTGAGAGCTGTTGTATTTGTAAAAGTAGACGGTATTGAGGGCTGTTGTATTTGTAAAAGTAGAAGGTATTGAAAGCTTATTCACAACATGCTTTTGGTCTTATGTTATCTGGTGGCTATGGTCCTATTGTGTAATAATAAAAAAATGCTCTGGTTTATTCAAGGTGCAGCTGAACGGCCGCCTGAAAATAAAACTTCCAGCTGACCATGCCGTGCAGGAAGACCTCAAACTAAAAAGGAGGATGGTGGAGCTAATGGAGCAAAATCAGCAAACATCCATCCGCAACACAGAAAGCTTTCAGCAGATGAATGATAACATTCGGGAGGGCTTTTCCCTGATGAGGGAATTCATGCATGCGCAACCCCACAGTAGCAGCGGTGGACAATTCCCGGGACAGTCACCGTACCTGCATAGAAGGCCACAGCCTGCCTACACACCAAACCCCTCTACACCACACCTGCACACGATGACCTCTGACCCCCCACGGCAACCATCTCAGTTTTCATACAGGCAGTCACTCTTTCAAGAAGACTGTTAAAGCACAGAGCTTCAGTTTTTGTTGTTATTACATTACATTACATTACATTGCATTTAGCTGACGCTTTTGTCCAAAGCGACTTACAATAAGTACATTCGACCAGGAAGACACAACCTTGAAGAAAACATTACATGTAATGTAATGTATAAAGAAAGTCTGGAAGTGGGTGCAGCCAATTTAACTTTTTATTCCAGTGAATATGTTTATCCCTATTTTTGTTGCCAGTCAAGGTATTCTATTCCTTGTTGCACTGTGAACATGTGGACTGAAAGCATTTCACTTTTTATTCCAGTGAATATATGTATCATTATAGCTCTTGCAAATGTTCTTAATAAAAAAACCTTGTCTTGTCTTTCATGTCAATGTACTCCGCAAGCACTCTTCAGCACTCTTTACTGTCTTTCCCTCATTACAGTCAGTGAGATATCTATTACTGGCCAAGTTGACTGATAAAGCAGTGAGCTTCAGTTTTTTGCGTTGTAAGCCAGTTGTTTGATCCATAAGAACCCAGACCCATTTCTACTTTTGGGAACATTAAGGAGAACATATACTGTATAGACCACATTTCTGATAAATAACCCCCCCCTAGTGTCAAATATCTGAAATGTCACATTGGGCTTTAATGGTAAAATAACTCATAACTTCATTAATGAGGATGCTTTTTTGGTTTAAATT